AAAAAAAAAAAAAAAAAAGAGCTTCCCTGACTTTACCCCTTCTTTTGTTCTTAAAATTTAAAAAGAAATTTCCTCTGATTTTTTTCCATAAAAATTTCAGAAAAACCACTTCTAAGTTGCAATTGGGTGGGAAAGATAGGCACCCTAAACTGTTAGTTCTTGACCTTCTCTGCACTGGCATTTAAGCAACTGAATACATCCTTTTTTTCTCCCAACATTTTATTAAAATAAATTTTCAAACACAGAAAAGGTGAAAGTATTTTACATCTAACACCTCTGTATCCACCACTTATATTCTGTCATTAATATTTTCCTGTGCTTGTCCTGTCACACATACCAATCATCCGTCTTATTTTTTGTGTTTACATTTCAGAGTATATTGCAGGCATCATCAGTACATACTCTCCTAAGTACTTCCCCTTGAATATTGCTAAGTTGAGTTCAATGTTTTTTTAATCGTACAGCAAAATTTACATACGATAGAATGTTAAATAAACATTGTGCGAGATGTAGACAGTGGAGGTTTGCCATTACTCCAGAAAGTTCCCTGATATTCCCTTCTGCTCCCCCAACCCTCAAAAGGCAACCAGTGTGCTGGGTTTTTTTCTACTATTAGATTAGTTTTGCCCGTCCTAGAACTTCAAATAATCATAGCATCTACTCTTTCAATAATATTCCTTTCATTCAGCCTCACGTTTTCTGAGATTTATCCATATTGTGTCTCAGTTGCCCAGTGTATGAATATATGACGGTCTGTTTATTCACTTTCTTACTGATGGACATCTGGCTAGTTTATTAATAGTTACTATGAGCCTGGGCTTGGGGGCTCACGCCTGTAATCCTAGCACTCTGGGAGGCCGAGGCAGGAGGATCGCTCAAGGTCAGGAATTCAAGACCAGCCTGAGCAAGAGTGAGACCCCATCTTTACTAAATATAGAAAGAAATTGGCTGGACAACTAAAAATATATAGAAAAAATTAGCCAGGCATGGTGGCTCATACTTGTAGTCCCAGCTACTCAGGAGGCTGAGGCAGTAGGATTGCCTGAGCCCAGGAGTTTGAGGTTGCTGTGAGCTAGGCTGATGCCACGGCACTCTAGCCCGGGCAACAGAGCGAG